CACCCCAGGCTTACATAAAACAGGCTCCTAAAAAGGCTTGGGGTGGCTGACAGAATAGGATGTTTTCTGTGCTTCTGAAGCAAGTAAAATTTGATTTACAGTAACAGGCGCAGAATGATCATGTTTATACTCGCAACCTGGCATTTTATTATTATTCCGCCGGATAACAGTGAAGAGTTCTGTGACCCCAAGGTACCACGGCTCTGCAAGAAGGAAAGAGGGGTGCGATTTAGCAGCAGCTGCCATCACAAATCAGTGTGCGGGGGCTCCTCTCGGAGCTCCGGGCTCAACTCCCGGCTGGCACAGGCTAATAAAGGGAAGCCCTGTGAGGATTTATGTAACCAGGGAAGGCGCATTTCCCTGCCTGCGAGAGCCTTTCCGAAGCAAGGTGAGAATTAGGCTGATTAGATTCAATGTGAAGAAAGAAAACCAACCCGATAGTTAGAGGAAGGAAAAGTGGGTCAACTTCAGCTACTTCCCTTGCCAAAAAAATGACCTTATAAATAGAGAAGAGCATGCTGAATTCCACCAGATAAATGAGCGCCTGGATGACTGAGTAAGTTAATGAATGAGTGTGATCCAGGCTTCCCGCAGGGTGGTTCTTGCAGTGGGAGAACAGTTCCATCCTGGATCACCCAGAGATGCTGAAAACGGAACAAGGCCATCAACACAGCCAGCTTCTGAATATTCACGCTCACATGATGCTCCCAGTCCGTATGTTTGATTTCTGTGTTTACTGATAGATGTTCAAACTCACTGAGCAAACCGGAATTCTAAAACAAAACAAAAACCAAACCACACACAGAAAAGCAGAAAAGAAACCTGTGTGGAGAGCTTACGTTATTTCTAGATAGGACTGCCAGATTAAAAACACTTACACTAAAAAAAAAGTTTATTGTTTGTCTGATCTAAATTTAACTGGGCACCCTGTATTTTTATTTGTTAAATCTGGAAACCTATTTCTGGGCTAATAACCCTATGAGAAGAGAGAGTGGGGACCGTATCTGGGGACCACGCCCACCCTTGGGAGTCAGAAGCATGGAAAACCAAAGGCAGAATCAGACAAGCAGAATCTGCAAAAACCCGGGGGGGAGAAGCAGGTGTACACAGAGCTTCTGCTGAGCAGTGACAGGCTCCGGGGAGTGGTGGGGACCAGGAGGGTGCTCAGCAAGAAAGCCCAAAGGCTGTAGAGTTTGGCCCTTGCAAAGTTGCTGGTGCTTCTAAGAAGCTCTAAGTCAGTGGTTCTCAACGAGGTTGGGGTGGAGATGGGGTGTATGTTGAAATGACCTCTAGCATATCAGATTTGAAATCTATATGCTGGAAATAGCCCGCTTCCCCTATGCAGGTTGGGGAGAGAAACATAATATATGTGTAACCCTTACACAGTCCAGTTTGGGGGCTGTTCTGTGGTTATTAAAGCACAAAATAAATTGTAAGTCTTTTCTTGCAAACCATAAAGGAGATCCCTAGTTTACAACAATTCATTCGAAAGGCCTTATCTTCAATCTACTTCCTTACTGTTCTCTAGTGCACCCCCCCTCCTTGATTTCCTCAACCTTCAGCCATCCCTCTTCCCATCTACTTTTCCTTTTGTTAAGTAGATCTCTGTCTCCAGCAAAAAGGACCAACTTCCCCCACTCTGTCCCAAATCATCTAAAAGATGAAGCCTTTTCTAGAGGGGCAGGAAATGGAGCTGACAATTATAAACTTCTCTTTGGCTGGGAAAAGGGAAAGTATGCATTTTCTTGCCATGTCCCTGGTATTTTTAAAAACTTTCCAAATGATTCTGATATCTGGCTCCCTTTGTGTGTTAACCCGGACAGAAAGCCTTTTTATTTCTTGAAACATCCTATTTCTTGGCAAATTTCTCTTTGCAAATTGCAGTCTTCTTTCTGTACTGGACCCAGAAAGAGGTGCCACTGTGTGGGAGTGGACATCTGTCCCTACAAAGACCACAAACTGCCATGCCACTAGCAGGCGACCCTGAACATTCACCTGAATTTCACAGTCAAGATTCCCGCCTAGACTGCTCTAACTTCAACAGGATCTTGCAAAAAGAGAGAGAGGGAGGAAGGGAGGGAGGGAGGAAGGAAGGG